TTTTTTTTTATTATTTAAAACATCTTTATGAATACACTATATCTGTATATAACTTAAGTACGAAATATGATCAGTAAGTTTTTGTGTTAGTGATATTTATCATAATTGATGCATAAGTCCAGCAAAGTCAAAACAAAACATATAAAAATGGATTCAATAATCGCCTCAAAAATTACTTGAGGATCTACAGAAATATCAAGGTCATCTTCAACTTTATTTCTGATTACGTTGGATTTCATTCTTTTTAATCTCGTCATTTTTTTGAGTTTCACGGAAAGGCATTTTTGAGGGTTCGATTCATGAAATTTATTATTATTATTACTGCCGACTTCAAGAGAATCTGAGTATAAGTTATCGGAAGATTCGCTTTCATCCCGTTCAAATATCGTACTAAAAACTTTTACTGGTTCTGAGTTAGGACTACATCTTCTACTACTAAGTGGTCCAAAGCTTCTTTTTCGTATTTTTATTGTATTAATATCAGTCTCCATTTCATTTTTAAGTGGTTCTCTTTTCACATCATCTGCCATCAACAGAATTCCAGCGTTTTTAACAGTATGGGGACTCCTGTCTTTTCTGACTCTGCCTTTGTTACCAACATAATCTCCACAGCTCATGTTTTTCTCATTATGGGCTTCAGTTTTGTTATTTTCATGGAGTTTCATTTTTGCATTCAACCATTTGTCCACAGAACCACTTTCACTAGGAACTGTTTCAAAATTGCTCTGAGCAATCCAATTAAGGATTCGATTGTAACTTTCCTTGACTTCATCATCACCGAAATATTTCATGTTCAATAAGCCGACAATTTTGATTGAATTTGCCTGATTCTACATATTATACGGTACCCTTCTCCCCAACAAACGTCAAAATGACAGAATAGTGAGATATTGTTTAATACTGCAGTCATATAGTGAAAATACTTTAAAAAAAATAAAAAATTGAATATCAAATACGTCTATTCTATAGCATTTTATCAGATTTCGAATTGTCATAAAATTTTTTGAAAGAATGGACACATCAACACGAGAGTTGCACATTAATTTAATGGAACATGTTTTGTTCTTTACTTTATTCTTCTTGAGCGAGCATAGTCGAAGTAGACTCTCGGCCCCTTCGTTCATGTCAGAAAGCTGAATACAAAAATGCTTTCGAAATTTGCATAGTCCACTCTTACTAGGCACTTACTTCAAATGCATTCAGACATACGTTGGGAGCGTCAAAAGTTCTCGACCTGACATGTTAAAACTTGCTTGGGTGCGACGTTTATATTTATACTCGCAGAAAGTGTAAAGGTTTCTAGTATGTATGTTGACTGTAACGAAAATTTAATATCATAAACTTTCTGACGAAAGGAGGACAAATTCCACAAGAAATTAAGAACGGATTGGAACAATCATATAAAAGAGTGCCAAAAAGGTTCCTTTTAGCGTACGAGTCCTTAGATCGTCCTGGGCGCCCGGCCGATTCGATCATGTCGTTTCAAGATGCTTCGCGACATACGTTGCGATTGAAGATCTTAGCTTCATCCATCATACAACTCGGGTATGACTCCCCCGGACTATTACGTATTCCGTTTCATGACAAAAGCGCTGCGTGGACGCCCTTTTAGCGTCGACGATGACTTGAAAGCTGTACTAACGCAATAGGTACCTTGACTCGAAAGAGCCTGTTCATGATTATAACGGTATAGACAATTGTGATAAGTGAACATAGGGGATGATTACATAGAAAATATTTGGTATAGGTCTAGATGGTGCGGGGGATTGAAAGAGGAGGTCTCCCCCACCACTGTACCATAAAAAGTTCGTGGCGGTCTCACCCCCACAAAAAGTTATGGGGGTTCAAAGTTAGTAAATATGCCAATTTTTATACATTTCTAGGTATGTAAATATTTATAGTCATTCTTAAACAACATTCAAAGGTAAAACTAACGGAAAATTAATATAAAACACTATTTAAATATCTTTATCAATAGGGTAGGTTAGGTTAGGTTATCGGGTTTTGTTCTAGTGACCACCCTCTTTCGATCCCCCACCTCCACCCGCTTGAATATTATTTTTTTATTGAATTTTATTTGAATTGTAGTGTATGAAAATTGTCAAAATAATCAACTTTCAACCCCCATAACTTTTTATGGGGGTAAGACCGCCGAAAAGTTTTTATGGGGTTTTACTCAGATGATCACCCTCTTTCGATCCCCTTTNTATTTCTGTTCTTTTTTATACTCACACTGAGAACTTTTGGCGTTCTCTATATATGTAAAGGGTTTTTCTGCGAAAAATTAGAAGTCAAATGACTTCTAATTTTTAATGTATTTAAAAAACGTTAGCATAATCGCGTGAATATAATTTTATTATGTGTTTCTTTGCTTTCAGAGACGGCTATCGCACTTGCGTCACCTTGCACTATTTCCGTCAAAATAAAAGAATACCGCTATGAACGCCCACGCTTACGTCATGAAGAATGAATCAACGGCCAAGGTAGTCTACTGAACTGTTTCTGCAGATTGCACAACACATATTTTACAGTTTCATCAGACGGGGAAACTTCTAACGTACACGCCGTCACAAACGAAAAATCGTAACATTTCCCAATCATTAAATACGCAAGTTTACCACTGTAATAAAGCTCTCCTAAATTAACGTTAAGTTACTAAAAAATGTATGCCGTTCAATTTTGAAACCTAATTAAACCTCCACGCTATTTACACTTCACTATAAGAAGAAAATTACAATCTGAAACGGAATTTTAAGAAATAGTAATATAATTACGCTCATTTTTTTCCCCCAATTAAAACCGTTCTGACATAATTATTAGTTAAAACCGAAAATCCTTTTAAAGAATTCATCCGATTTCCGTCAAATATAGAAAAAATAAGAAACAAATCAAAATTCCAAATTTCATACAAAAAACGCATGGAAATTATTCATTCATCCTGGAGTTACGATGCCATATACAGCCAAAAGATCCAAACCTGTAGCACACCCCTTTTTATTCGAGGGTTTAAAAACATTTGCAAATATGGGTCACACACACAAACATTACATATTATAAATGATTTCCATCAAATATAGAGAGAATAAAAAACAAATCAAAATTCCAAATTTCATACAAAAAACGCACGGAAATTATTCATTCATCCTGGAGTTACGATGCCATATACAGCCAAAAGATCCAAACCTGTAGCACACCCCTTTTTATTCGAGGGTTTAAAAACATTTGCAAATATGGGTCACACACACAAACATTACATATTATAAATGATTTCCATCAAATATAGAGAGAATAAAAAACAAATCAAAATTCCAAATTTCATACAAAAAACGCACGGAAATTATTCATTCATACTGGAGTTACGATGCCATATACAGCCAAAAGATCCAAACCTGTAGCACACTCCTTTTTCTTAGAGGGTTTAAAAACATTTGCAAATATGGGTCACACACACAAACATTACATATTATAAATAAGATGGTGCTAGCTCTTATGGAGCCTTATCACGTTCTCGTATGGAAATTTCCTGAAATCTCAATGCTTTTGTGTTGACTAAACAGAAGTTTTCCAATATTCTACCTATATCACAAAAAACGCCTGTTACCTCCGAATATATTAAAACAAATAAATACAGTTACAGTCATAAAAACAAATAGAAGATAAATCATTCATTCTCATCGTGACGTACCTCATCACCATCATTATAGGGTCTTCAGTCCTAAGACTGGTTGGACACGCACCTCTACTCTTTCCTAACCTCTGCATTTCCCTAAAACTTAAACATGCCACATCCTTAACACTATTTGTGAATAGTACTATAATCTAGGTCTACCTCTACTCCTCTTAACTCTGCTTCTAATATGTCTTTGATTAGCCCTTTATGCCTGAGAAGGCGTCCTACTATCCCATGTCGCCTACTCTTTATTGACTTCAATAGCGCCTTACATTCCCCTACTTCTACAGGTATTTTATGTATTTAAATTTGTCTTAGCCACAACAATAGATTACGGAAAATAAATGATTTAATTGAAAACTTCATTCAACAAATTATATAACAGGTAGAAAAGAAGCTACAGTTTGAAACTTTTATGCTGAAGACCCAGAAAGTCCTTCGAACAACTTCAACTTTTAATTAATAAACAAAAGGTACGTACCACGTCGTGTTTTCCCTACAAATACAAAAAAAAAGAAATGTTTGTGGGAGTTTTAGTTTAGACAAACAATTAACTTCTCAAGTTCATTACAATGTTTGCATAAAATGCCTTTATAAAAACTCGAGAATTTCTTCTTCTTCAACGTCAGTCGTTGGTAACGTTTTGTAATTCTGTTTAAGTTTTATCACTTGTTTGTTTATGTTATTTATACAATCCTGAGGGAACATTAATTTAGACTAACTAAGTAAGAATACAAAACGTGAACAAGCTCGCGTTATTTCATTGTAAACGACATCGTAAGTGGCACGAAACTCATCTAGATACTTAATAATTTAAATACACTGACCTATAAAAACCGACTTCAATACTTGCCTATATGACACACAAACAAAAAAGTTACAAAGATCTGACCGAAATAACGAAGTTCGGTTAATTTCTCTGACTATTTTTTTATCATCCTCTACTTTTCCACCCCCTACAAATCACCCTTGAGATATAACACATCAAAAATAAATTAATTTAATTAGCGAAGAAATCGCGTTACATTTCTGAAGTCGGTTACACTTTCGTCTAAATCTTGATTTACTTATTAAAGAGCTGATTTCTGTATGATTTTTTTATTTTTTAGTTGTAATCCTCAATACTGAAAACAATCCCGGAATTGACTACATATAAGTAATCCTGAAATTCCGGGATTAGAAACAAGGACATGGATTGAATTCTTCACCGAATGTTCAAAAAGAATTTAGGTATTAGATACTTTAAAATTATCGATTCGTTTAAAATTACTTCATGCATACATAATCGTTTCATTATCTATTAAAACTAGAACACTAAATCATTAAATTCAATACATGCCCTTGATGAAGAGATATAAAATTCCGCATGGTGCCATTTTAAAAACAATAAATGTAACTGGGATATTTTTTATAACAAAATTGGTAATTCAGTCTCCATAAAACAGAAGAAATGGACCATGAAAACGTTATCAACCGTCATAAAACATAAAAACGATAAGACCTGGATCGCGATTTCGAACTTATTGGAATGTGATTCGCACTATCGATCCTGCATTCAGATTAAATTGTCTCGCCACACTTTACTAAAATCCAGACAATTCTGTCTTGACCTAATAGATTATTTTCTCTAGAAAATGGCGGACCACGATCTAATGTTGTCGAGATGTAGTGTGTTAAAACATATTAAATTAGTTCTCATCAGGAAATCAAGGGAAATTTAATGTTAATTGCCTAAGTTCATAGTGCCTGATAAAAGGTCCTTACAAAGGGTACGTACTTGTCAAACTGGATGTTATACGACGAAGCTTTAAGGATAATTTTTCAAACATATTGTCAGTTACTACAATGAACAAAAAACATATATATATTTAAAATATAAGGATATGCTATTGTCACTTACTTAAAATATACTTATAATGTGTATCTACGTATGTTCTCGATAAAAGAACTTAAAAAATTGTTTCACTCTTTCAGCTTATATAATTGGTAATTATGGCGTTGTTTTCAAGTATCCATTCGTTCAATACCGTTTTAGACTAAAAATATATAAATAATTTTAGAATAAAACACGTTGCTTATTGTTACACAATTTTACATTACGACGCGACGATATAAAATTTTATTGTTAGAAACACTCGCAGACAGCCACAATGATTTGTCTGCTGGTGACACTTATGAATATGTAATTATTTTTTCAATTTTATTCAGAAAACCTATATAGGTAAGGCAAAACGTTCACCCAACATAGAAATTGTAAATTTATTTATCGACAATATCATTGTCAAAAACATTCATTCATTGATTCTCTGAAAATTGTCAAAAACATTCGTAAAAGCCTAATACCGCTTTTAAAAGCTTTAAATTACATTAACTGGACTCGCACGTATGGATTTATTACTATGAAAATATGACTGAATACAGATTTTCTTGCACCACATCGCATTTTTCAAAAGATGATTAATGTAACAGAATAACCTTATTGGACACTACATTCGCCATTAGTGTATACTAATATCGAGTTAAAAATCGAACATAAACCTTCTATTACATGCAATTTCGGAAAAACACTATGTGGTAGAGGAAAATTCGTACAAATACTTTCAGCAATCTTTTCATATAAATAATAACGTAAAATACGACCCCAAAAATCTGTTAAGGAGTTTTTTCTGTTGAAAAGTTTTTGAGAGTTCGGTTAGTTTTTTTAGCGAACCAGGAGATAATTTGAGATGGACACGGTTGAAATTGTATTTCCGTTAGTGTCGATAAATAACGGGTAGTTTCCATGTTCGATGAACGTTTTGCTTTACCTGTATGTTGCAGTACATGTTCACTGGCTCGTACTCTAATATTTTGCAAAGCAATTGATAGAATTTATACTGACATATGTATATATATCCTTTTCAGGCTTACACAACGTGAGTAATAACGGAATTCCGCGTTAAAATTTGTGAAACATGTGTCTCTAACCGTGTCAGATATTTAATAAGCCGATGATTAATTGCAGATTGAGACGCTTTATAGCGAACATAATGCTTAACAGACACAATACAGGTACATAGAAAGTACATTTCAAAAGAAAAAAGAGATCCAAATCGTTTTTTAATATCTTCTTAATTAGCAATTTAACCAAAATAAATTGACTTGAGGAAGTATTGATAATTTAAAGATATAATAAATGAAAAGGAAATTGAAGTAAGTTTGTTTTATTAATGCGTTCTGTTAATGTGTACGAATATTTTTCAAACAATGGAAAAACATGCAAATCGTTTTGTTATGGTTCGCGCCAATTAGGAAGCCATAAAACGTGCTAATTGGAATTTCTATCAGGTGCCTAATTAACAATTACGAAGATGCTGTGAAATTCCATAATACTTAAATGAGACTGAAAAAGTTTTTAAACCAGCTGAATAAGATCACATAAAATTTTCCGAAGACGCCCTAATAACAATATCATTCTAACAACATTTTAGTATTTCATCAAGAGGGCCAAAAGAAACACGTGTGTCAAAGGCATTGCAAATAAAATTTGCTCGACATATCAACTGCCAACTAGCGTCTATTTTTGCATTTGAAAATAATAGATGTCAAGGACGGTCTAACCCGACGTAACAAGCGTAATTAGAAAATGTTTCGTTAACATACGCACATTGTATGATAACACCAATTCATACACTCATACTTGCCCTATAAGACAATGCCTTAAACGAAGTCATTAAAAAAGCTGCAGCTAAGATACTGATAGGTATTTTTTATCAGTATTAGTGATTAAAACTACTGGTTAAAAATGTTTGTAAATGTAAAGAACAGACAGTTAGATATTTACCATACAAAACACTAATAAGAATAATGGTATTAACGACTCAAGCACTCGTTTGAACTGGTTTTCATTACTAATTATTTAGACTTAAAATAAAGATGACCACCAATATAATTGTTTTTATCTCTACTTTTATAATAATATAATAAGATCACAGATATCTCTTTAAAACTGAATCACGAAACCACAAACTTGAATCCGAAGTGAAATACTTCATTGTTTCCACAGTTTTTGCAAATATTTGATAAAATTTTCAATATATACAAACGAAGCTACAAGCTAGACAGTGCATGGTATGTAATTCTTCAAAAGTTTTTTCTAATGAAAATGAAATTTGCTGATAAAAAACGCCTCTGTGTAAAAGTAAATTAAATACGAAATTTAAACATCGGAATTTAACTGCTGAATACAATCTATTTCTGCAGCACTAACGTCATTTTGACTGACACAAGCCAGTGCCAAAATCGATTGTACAATATTCTTACGAGTACGGAAATATTGCATTTTTATCTCGGCCACATCTTTCAATCAAATACAAAATAGGCAACGACTAAGACTAGTCTTTTGGCGTAACAAAATAAGTAAAATATTTCATCAAGTAAACCTTAAGTCAATCAATTATAATAGTAATTTGATAAAGGATTAAATAATTAAATATCACGTAATGAATGTAATGACGAATTATGAATAAAGATGTATTTATTTTTAATAAAGCAATAAATTTAATTTTGTGACATTAGTATCGGTTCCCCTTCAATATTAAGATAACCAAGGCGGGGGTTATCAATGCTAATACATATGTAATAAAATCGCACAACGAGGTTTCATACCTACGCAAATTGCACTTCTTTATCACAATTAAAAGACAATCTTTATGAAGTGATAATCCAGTATCAGACTAGAAGACGCATTTGCAAAATCTTAATTATTTTTAAAACAAGACATTCAAGAAACCTTTGTTACTAATCTATCTGCTATAAAGCACAATTCTCAAAATACATATTCCATATTCTTTCAATTTCAGGACACTATACACAAATTCATGAAAACATTGGGATATATGTACAAGACACACATTAATTGTCGCAAAGAACTTTGTCCATTCTTTGCAATTTTAAACATTTTCCTTTACTGTTTTTCAAAACTTTTAAAATTCTTCTCAAAATAAAAACGAATTGTTTAATTTCCTAAACAAACAGTAGTCAAATTTTAATTATTTGATAGCATGTATACTTTAATGAAATCCTACACCCAAGTCCAAGTCGGGTCAAATTTAATTTTTAATGTACCTAAGTAATAAGAATATAAATTCAATAGTACCGTGCAAGATTTAACAACCCCTTTACAGTTATACGCACATCCTTTTCCATTATTTCCTCATTATTTTTATAGGCACCTCATATAACTAATTACTCAATACATTAGTTTATTACGAGCCGGTCCCGCAAATAAAATTCAGATGTAGAATCACGAAAGCACCAAGAACTATTAGCCTAGATGAATTTAATTTTTACGACAACGCATAAATCACGCAATCAATCAAGTAAATGTCGTTCAACTATTAAGTTCACATAAATGGAGCAATAAAAATACATGCGGCGTCTATCGCTACAAATCTACATATAAATTGAATACGATTAATATCCAAATAGAGGAAATGTATCGCCATCTGGTGAATATTTTCTGGTACCGAAGTATTTCAAACGTTAGATAAGCCCTTATTAATTATAAATGTATTTTAGTTTATCTCACTGATGTTGAGATTGATTTGAAGACGCAAACCAACAAATTACACGTTCTGAATATAATTACACAATATTTATGCACATTTTCAGTTACGTATTTACTTCGCTAATACGCACCGCCAAAATATGTACAAGTATATTACAGGTACATATAAATGATATTTCGTGAATTTATCAAATAAAAAACAAGTTATTTGCACTTACCTTTGTATAATCCTATGTAAACATGCATAATTTTCTTTGTTCATAATAATAAAACTCGATAAAGCATTATCGTTACGAACATAATTCGAAAATGCAAAGAAAAATCCATTTTTCTTTGATAAATAAAATATAGTCTAAGTAAAAACGAGAGTCGCAAGACGATATCGTAATTAATTACACCACACAACTAATTACCGGTTTGTGAACAATCAGGTAAGTACGCTAATTATTAAAAATAAATTGCAATTTGCCTAGGTAAAACATGCAAAAATTGCAAATCAAAATTATATTCCTATACTTTTCTAACCGAGCACAACAAAGTTATCTAAAAAATGCAATCAATATTTTTTGTACAAAATGATAATTTATTGTTTCAAATTATTTAAAAGATGAATTTAATAGATAGGTATAAAAAGCAATGAATTTTGAATACTAAATGTAGTAGTATATTTCGAAACATTTTCATATCTCAATTTTTCTATTTAATTTTTTGGAATGTCTAATTTTAAACTTTATTTTACCTACTTAACATTTTATTACTGCTTCTCAAGCAATGTTTTCAAAGCGCCACTATTATGATTTAATTTCATGCTCGTGTTATCATTATCAAAAACACTTTCGATGTTTACGAGCGAATTCTTTTTGCGACCGTACTTTTATACGTTCTGACGCACATCTTGATGTGCGAGACATGCGGAGCTTTTACCATTTATCATGTTTAAATAACGAAAAAGAAAAGCAAATCCACTTACCTTATCACGTAGTTGACGCACACGACGCTCTGAGGTTTCTGCAGTTTATCATGAATCAGGGTGGCTTGGGTTAATACCCACACGTAACCGCCGGTTTTCGCCAAAAATCTGTATCTGCTGGTTTCACACTGACCTTTCGAAAATACTGTAACAAAAAGACATTATCAATAGTAAAAATTGTTAAAACTAAAAACTAAAAAAGAAATATAAAAAACTAATTACTGACACTTACAATTAGCCCCTTATGGTCGGGGGTACATCACACACGGGCGGAAAATTACAATTTGTATTCAAAGGCGCAAGTTTTTCTCTATAAACTTAATATTTTGACGACTATAATTTAACGCTGCACATTGTCGCTTTTGTGAAGTTCCGACAAGTTGCAAAAACGGATGTGAAAATGGGTGCGGAACTTCCGCAATTACGAAAATGAAAAAAGAAGTTTGTATGAGTAAAGAGAGGTAGAGGAAGACCTAAATTAAAATACTGTTAACTTTCGAGAAATGTAAAGATTACATCAGGACCGAAAATATTTTAAGTACGGAAACAGAAATGTAAATATAAATTTAATAGTTACTGTTTATATTTCACCACTGCTAAAAAATAGTTTTATACATATTCGAAGGATGTAGGACAGTGGCGTAAATGGGGTATGGAAGTAGGGGCGGTACGGCGGCACATTACCGCCACACAGGGCGGCAAAAGCTGTTTGTCCCGAGCGAGTGTTATCGGAAGTATATAAAAGTTAAGCGGTGATGTTTGAATCGCTATATGATGTCCGTCCTGGGCTACTACTAACGCTAGTTACACCACTGGTTTAGAGCAGCATTTTGTAATAATTATTATGAAATACAACATAAAAACGGACTCGTTGACTTTCGTTCCCATTATTATACTACGAATTTCATCTATAAAATAGATTTAATCGACCACAATGCTTGCTAATGTTTTCCTTTTCCGAATATATTGCCAAAAACTGTAGTAATAAACGTCACACGGACTTTTTACGATTTCCAACCCCCAAACGTCAAACTCTTTTTCTTCGGGATAATATTTTTCGTACAATTGCAGGGGTCTAATGGAATATCAATAGGTCACGCAGCACATGTGGATCATCGATTCCGATAACTATTCTACATTACTTGAAGAAACTCCAGAAAGTTGAATTCTGGCGATAGGCCGAAGCAGGTTTTATTAGGATTGAACAGAATGTGGTAGCAACAACGAGATAAAAATACTTTAATGGTTTTAAAGATAGATCTCCTCTAAAATCTATAGGTGCCAAACTTGTATAACTTCGTAGAAGATTTATACAAGTATATTTTTTTTTCTTTAAACCACGCTTTCAATCATACTTTACAGTATCTTTCATGTACTGTAAAAATAATGGATTCTTACTTAAAAAACGCTAAGAATTTACGCTAGAGATAATTTACAACATTACGTGAAATAAATAACCCATAGCGTTATTTACGATTTTCTTCACATTAAATTCTAAAATTGTTTTTAAGCCTTTTTAAAATGGCAGTTATTGCCACGGAATTTCTGAAAATAATTTTTTTATGTAATATGTAGAACATTTAACGCTTTGTGGAATTTTAGAAACACCTGTTGTGTACATAATACAACGTAAACTAAACAGAAATATCACTGTATTCTTCAGAAGTAAACAAGAGACACAATGGATTACGGAACTCACATCAGGTTTATCAAAAAATATGGTATGTACCTAGTATGAAATTTAATCTACGCGTACGAGTTATTAAAATTCATGAACACTAGAAAATTATAGGCATCTCCTAGATTTACCCAAAAAGGTGCAGAACGACCAAATTTTCGAATGGCAAATCGTAAATATTAGAAACGTCCTCGATAAGGGTTCGCGTGTGCCTCTGGCAGTTTTATTACGCAAGGGGCTTTCGCTAAAACGACCATCAAGAATTACTACCAAGTACGGCGACCGAAACGAAAACGAAATTCATCGAGATTATCATATGGGGTGGATGACCCAAATGTGCATTACATATATTTAACCAGAGATGCCCAATTGAAATGTCTTGAATGTCAAGGCAGAATTTCCGACCTTAAATTTATTGTTTGCCAATTTGTACTAAGAACATTCAATGAATATCTTTAATTTTTATTCTGACATCTCCATTTACTGAAAATTTATTGTGGCATGAAGACTACATTAGAGTGCGCATTTGGGGCTTGGTCAGGTCAATTTTCGTTAAAAGCATACACTTTTATTAATTAGAAGATTGTCAAAAGTGTATATTTGGAGTACGGCTCTGTACTGGTGAAATCAAAATACCATGGATAGAAAAAGTTAGAAATGAGGATGTTCTGAATAAAAGGTAGGTGATTTTTGAGACACGACATATATTAAAGAACGTAACCACACTATGCGACCCGTTTGGGGAGGGGGTCTTCAAAAATACCATGCTTGATCACAGGGTGGGTGGGGGGCTTACGTTTTAGTCACGTAGTCAATACCCTCTAAGGAAACTTCGCACATTTCGAACTATACTCAAAACTCTCTGTTTGCAAAAAACTGATTTAAAACCACATTTATGAATTACTACTAGAAAACTATAGGGAGTGATGAGTCTTGGTATACACTACAAGTGGTCATCGAGAGGGGAAGGGAGGGTAAAAATATAAAAAGTGGGTCACGTAGTATGGGTACGCTCCCTTAGAAGCCGAAACACGAGTACAGAGGCAGAGGAAGAAAAGTTCTGACAGGCAACCCTTGTGATGAAAGCAGCAAAACTGCATTCATATATTATTTACATTCAGATACTAATACATGTGTGGTACTGTGTCGACAAGAATTATTATTTTCAATCACTGTTTTGCCAAATACAAATTACTTTTTTTATTATCGCATTCGTTACAAATATTTTGTGCTAAATACAAAAATACTTTTTGGCATCATAAAATAACACCTGCTAGATGCTAACGTTTAATTTTTATTACTATTTTCTCAAAACCGGTATGGAATTTAGGGAAAAGCATTTATTTTGCCATCTAAAAACGACGCGAAGCATGTTGTTGGCGCCTTTAAGGGTTAAAGAACCGTATTTTTAGTATATATTATAAAGGAAACGTGTGGTTATGATAGATGCGATGTTTTCTTTTGGTACGATTCAGCGATGTGGAACGGTGCCAAATGTCTCTCGCTCTCTTTTCGACAAAACGAGATAATTAAAAGTTTTTTNAGTCATCAGACGTACGGGCAGAAAGGATTTCTTTGAACTCCTCATGATCACAAGGGTGACTATATTCGTATAAATTCTGCCCCATGAGATCAACCTGCAATTAACAATAAACATAAATAAAAACCGAAAGTTAAATAAGTTTTGTAATGTAAATTAAACGATGTTTCAATTTTAATTCTTGTGGAATACATATATGTAGTACAAAACTCTAATATAAATATAATGTTATTTTTAGTTTAGCTAATAAAGGTTCAAATATGTATTTAAGAACACCCGGAGAATCCCCATTTCAAATGCTAATCATTTTGGTAAGGAACCACCAAAAGCTTTCATAATTAAAGGTAAAATGTACCCATTTATCGTGTTTTGTTAACTTTTAAGTAAACAATAGGCTCTATCTCAATGGGGTAGTGACAAAATTCAGATACAATTTGATAAAACCAGATAGTTGTACCTTAATAAAGTTTATCAAGTCTGCTATACATCTATATATTCTTGAATATTGAATAGACGTCAATCACAATACACCCTGTATATGCTTAATGGTGAACAAAATAATAAACTTGTTTTATTTCTATTCAGTGAAATGGCTGGCGCCATCTGTTGCTATGAAACCAGCAACTGCTTTGTAAAGCTTCACGTAATAAGGTTGTCCATACCTCACGGCTTACGTTCGGCAACAGATGGTGCCACTTACAGGATACTTTTATAAAATTAATAACGAGCGGGAATTTACAAATATTACACGAATTAAATATATTAAGACTTGCAAAAGCAAAAGAAACCATTTTCACAGAATATTAAAATAAATTGAAGTCCAATATAACTATTTATCAATAGTTATAGTCAAAACGGCTTTCATTGCATTCCAGTTAATCATACTCTCCAAATACATCAAAAAGGGAATATACTACTAATTTTGGATAAACAGATTCCCGTTTTGTGATATTTACAATTAACGGCAACAACATTAAGAATAACGATAATGAAAGGTACTTTTCTAGTTTTTGGCAACCCCAAGCAAGTACAATGGCAATAAACAACTTATTACGAGAAAGAATTAATCATTGATAATTCTCGAAAATAATGGATTCTTACTTAAAAAACGCTATAGAATTTACGCTAGGGATAATTTACAACATTACGTGAAATAAATAACCCATAGCGTTATTTACGATTTTCTTCACATTAAATTCTAAAATTGTTTTTAAGCCTTTTTAAAATGGCAGTTANAAACACGTTGCTTATTGTTACACAATTTTACATTACGACGCGACGATATAAAATTTTATTGTTAGAAACACTCGCAGACAGCCACAATGATTTGTCTGCTGGTGACACTTATGAATATGTAATTATTTTTTCAATTTTATTCAGAAAACCTATATAGGTAAGGCAAAACGTTCACCCAACATAGAAATTGTAAATTTATTTATCGACAATATCATTGTCAAAAACATTCATTCATTGATTCTCTGAAAATTGTCAAAAACATTCGTAAAAGCCTAATACCGCTTTTAAAAGCTTTAAATTACATTAACTGGACTCGCACGTATGGATTTATTACTATGAAAATATGACTGAATACAGATTTTCTTGCACCACATCGCATTTTTCAAAAGATGATTAATGTAACAGAATAACCTTATTGGACACTACATTCGCCATTAGTGTATACTAATATCGAGTTAAAAATCGAACATAAACCTTCTATTACATGCAATTTCGGAAAAACACTATGTGGTAGAGGAAAATTCGTACAAATACTTTCAGCAATCTTTTCATATAAATAATAACGTAAAATACGACCCCAAAAATCTGTTAAGGAGTTTTTTCTGTTGAAAAGTTTTTGAGAGTTCGGTTAGTTTTTTTAGCGAACCAGGAGATAATTTGAGATGGACACGGTTGAAATTGTATTTCCGTTAGTGTCGATAAATAACGGGTAGTTTCCATGTTCGATGAACATTTTGCTTTACCTGTATGTTGCAGTACATGTTCACTGGCTCGTACTCTAATATTTTGCAAAGCAATTGATAGAATTTATACTGACATATGTATATATATCCTTTTCAGGCTTACACAACGTGAGTAATAACGGAATTCCGCGTTAAAATTTGTGAAACATGTGTCTCTAACCGTGTCAGATATTTAATAAGCCGATGATTAATTGCAGATTGAGACGCTTTATAGCGAACATAATGCTTAACAGACACAATACAGGTACATAGAAAGTACATTTCAAAAGAAAAAAGAGATCCAAATCGTTTTTTAATATCTTCTTAATTAGCAATTTAACCAAAATAAATTGACTTGAGGAAGTATTGATAATTTAAAGATATAATAAATGAAAAGGAAATTGAAGTAAGTTTGTTTTATTAATGCGTTCTGTTAATGTGTACGAATATTTTTCAAACAATGGAAAAACATGCAAATCGTTTTGTTATGGTTCGCGCCAATTAGGAAGCCATAAAACGTGCTAATTGGAATTTCTATCAGGTGCCTAATTAACAATTACGAAGATGCTGTGAAATTCCATAATACTTAAATGAGACTGAAAAAGTTTTTAAACCAGCTGAATAAGATCACATAAAATTTTCCGAAGACGCCCTAATAACAATATCATTCTAACAACATTTTAGTATTTCATCAAGAGGGCCAAAAGAAACACGTGTGTCAAAGGCATTGCAAATAAAATTTGCTCGACATATCAACGGCCAACTAGCGTCTATTTTTGCATTTGAAAATAATAGATGTCAAGGACGGTCTAACCCGACGTAACAAGCGTAATTAGAAAATGTTTCGTTAACATACGCACATTGTATGATAACACCAATTCATACACTCATACTTGCCCTATAAGACAATGCCTTAAACGAAGTCATTAAAAAAGCTGCAGCTAAGATACTGATAGGTATTTTTTATCAGTATTAGTGATTAAAACTACTGGTTAAAAATGTTTGTAAATGTAAAGAACAGACAGTTAGATATTTACCATACAAAACACTAATAAGAATAATGGTATTAACGACTCAAGCACTCGTTTGAACTGGTTTTCATTACTAATTATTTAGACTTAAAATAAAGATGACCACCAATATAATTGTTTTTATCTCTACTTTTATAATAATATAATAAGATCACAGATATCTCTTTAAAACTGAATCACGAAACCACAAACTTGAATCCGAAGTGAAATACTTCATTGTTTCCACAGTTTTTGCAAATATTTGATAAAATTTTCAATATATACAAACGAAGCTACAAGCTAGACAGTGCATGGTATGTAATTCTTCAAAAGTTTTTTCTAATGAAAATGAAATTTGCTGATAAAAAACGCCTCTGTGTAAAAGTAAATTAAATACGAAATTTAAACATCGGAATTTAACTGCTGAATACAATCTATTTCTGCAGCACTAACGTCATTTTGACTGACACAAGCCAGTGCCAAAATCGATTGTACAATATTCTTACGAGTACGGAAATATTGCATTTTTATCTCGGCCACATCTTTCAATCAAATACAAAATAGGCAACGACTAAGACTAGTCTTTTGGCGTAACAAAATAAGTAAAATATTTCATCAAGTAAACCTTAAGTCAATCAATTATAATAGTAATTTGATAAAGGATTAAATAATTAAATATCACGTAATGAATGTAATGACGAATTATGAATAAAGATGTATTTATTTTTAATAAAGCAATAAATTTAATTTTGTGACATTAGTATCGGTTCCCCTTCAATATTAAGATAACCAAGGCGGGGGTTATCAATGCTAATACATATGTAATAAAATCGCACAACGAGGTTTCATACCTACGCAAATTGCACTTCTTTATCACAATTAAAAGACAATCTTTATGAAGTGATAATCCAGTATCAGACTAGAAGACGCATTTGCAAAATCTTAATTATTTTTAAAACAAGACATTCAAGAAACCTTTGTTACTAATCTATCTGCTATAAAGCACAATTCTCAAAATACATATTCCATATTCTTTCAATTTCAGGACACTATACACAAATTCATGAAAACATTGGGATATATGTACAAGACACACATTAATTGTCGCAAGTACTTTGTCCATTCTTTGCAATTTTAAACATTTTCCTTTACTGTTTTTCAAAACTTTTAAAATTCTTCTCAAAATAAAAACGAATTGTTTAATTTCCTAAACAAACAGTAGTTAAATTTTAATTATTTGATAGCATGTATACTTTAATGAAATCCTACACCCAAGTCCAAGTCGGGTCAAATTTAATTTTTAATGTACCTAAGTAATAAGAATATAAATTCAATAGTACCGTGCAAGATTTAACAACCCCTTTACAGTTATACGCACATCCTTTTCCATTATTTCCTCATTATTTTTATAGGCACCTCATATAACTAATTACTCAATACATTAGTTTATTACGAGCCGGTCCCGCAAATAAAATTCAGATGTAGAATCACGAAAGCACCAAGAACTATTAGCCTAGATGAATTTAATTTTTACGACAACGCATAAATCACGCAATCAATCAAGTAAATGTCGTTCAACTATTAAGTTCACATAAATGGAGCAATAAAAATACATGCGGCGTCTATCGCTACAAATCTACATATAAATTGAATACGATTAATATCCAAATAGAGGAAATGTATCGCCATCTGGTGAATATTTTCTGGTACCGAAGTATTTCAAACGTTAGATAAGCCCTTATTAATTATAAATGTATTTTAGTTTATCTCACTGATGTTGAGATTGATTTGAAGACGCAAACCAACAAATTACACGTTCTGAATATAATTACACAATATTTATGCACATTTTCAGTTACGTATTTACTTCGCTAATACGCACCGCCAAAATATGTACAAGTATATTACAGGTACATATAAATGATATTTCGTGAATTTATCAAATAAAAAACAAGTTATTTGCACTTACCTTTGTATAATCCTATGTAAACATGCATAATTTTCTTTGTTCATAATAATAAAACTCGATAAAGCATTATCGTTACGAACATAATTCGAAAATGCAAAGAAAAATCCATTTTTCTTTGATAAATAAAATATAGTCTAAGTAAAAACGAGAGTCGCAAGACGATATCGTAATTAATTACACCACACAACTAATTACCGGTTTGTGAACAATCAGGTAAGTACGCTAATTATTAAAAATAAATTGCAATTTGCCTAGGTAAAACATGCAAAAATTGCAAATCAAAATTATATTCCTATACTTTTCTAACCGAGCACAACAAAGTTATCTAAAAAATGCAATCAATATTTTTTGTACAAAATGATAATTTATTGTTTCAAATTATTTAAAAGATGAATTTAATAGATAGGTATAAAAAGCAATGAATTTTGAATACTAAATGTAGTAGTATATTTCGAAACATTTTCATATCTCAATTTTTCTATTCAATTTTTTGGAATGTCTAATTTTAAACTTTATTTTACCTACTTAACATTTTATTACTGCTTCTCAAGCAATGTTTTCAAAGCGCCACTATTATGATTTAATTTCATGCTCGTGTTATCATTATCAAAAACACTTTCGATGTTTACGAGCGAATTCTTTTTGCGACCGTACTTTTATACGTTCTGACGCACATCTTGATGTGCGAGACATGCGGAGCTTTTACCATTTATCATGTTTAAATAACGAAAAAGAAAAGCAAATCCACTTACCTTATCACGTAGTTGACGCACACGACGCTCTGAGGTTTCTGCAGTTTATCATGAATCAGGGTGGCTTGGGTTAATACCCACACGTAACCGCCGGTTTTCGCCAAAAATCTGTATCTGCTGGTTTCACACTGACCTTTCGAAAATACTGTAACAAAAAGACACTATCAATAGTAAAAATTGTTAAAACTAAAAACTAAAAAAGAAATATAAAAAACTAATTACTGACACTTACAATTAGCCCCTTATGGTCGGGGGTACATCACACACGGGCGGAAAATTACAATTTGTATTCAAAGGCGCAAGTTTTTCTCTATAAACTTAATATTTTGACGACTATAATTTAACGCTGCACATTGTCGCTTTTGTGAAGTTCCGACAAGTTGCAAAAACGGATGTGAAAATGGGTGCGGAACTTCCGCAATTACGAAAATGAAAAAAGAAGTTTGTATGAGTAAAGAGAGGTAGAGGAAGACCTAAATTAAAATACTGTTAACTTTCGAGAAATGTAAAGATTACATCAGGACCGAAAATATTTTAAGTACGGAAACAGAAATGTAAATATAAATTTAATAGTTACTGTTTATATTTCACCACTGCTAAAAAATAGTTTTATACATATTCGAAGGATGTAGGACAGTGGCGTAAATGGGGTATGGAAGTAGGGGCGGTACGGCGGCACATTACCGCCACACAGGGCGGCAAAAGCTGTTTGTCCCGAGCGAGTGTTATCGGAAGTATATAAAAGTTAAGCGGTGATGTTTGAATCGCTATATGATGTCCGTCCTGGGCTACTACTAACGCTAGTTACACCACTGGTTTAGAGCAGCATTTTGTAATAATTATTATGAAATACAACATAAAAACGGACTCGTTGACTTTCGTTCCCATTATTATACTACGAATTTCATCTATAAAATAGATTTAATCGACCACAATGCTTGCTAATGTTTTCCTTTTCCGAATATATTGCCAAAAACTGTAGTAATAAACGTCACACGGACTTTTTACGATTTCCAACCCCCAAACGTCAAACTCTTTTTCTTCGGGATAATATTTTTCGTACAATTGCAGGGGTCTAATGGAATATCAATAGGTCACGCAGCACATGTGGATCATCGATTCCGATAACTATTCTACATTACTTGAAGAAACTCCAGAAAGTTGAATTCTGGCGATAGGCCGAAGCAGATTTTATTAGGATTGAACAGAATGTGGTAGCAACAACGAGATAAAAATACTTTAATGGTTTTAAAGATAGATCTCCTCTAAAATCTATAGGTGCCAAACTTGTATAACTTCGTAGAAGATTTATACAAGTATATATTTTTTTCTTTAAACTACGCTTTCAATCATACTTTACAGTATCTTTCATGTACTGTAAAAATAATGGATTCTTACTTAAAAAACGCTAAGAATTTACGCTAGAGATAATTTACAACATTACGTGAAATAAATAACCCATAGCGTTATTTACGATTTTCTTCACATTAAATTCTAAAATTGTTTTTAAGCCTTTTTAAAATGGCAGTTATTGCCACGGAATTTCTGAAAATAATTTTTTTATGTAATATGTAGAACATTTAACGCTTTGTGGAATTTTAGAAACACCTGTTGTGTACATAATACAACGTAAACTAAACAGAAATATCACTGTATTCTTCAGAAGTAAACAAGAGACACAATGGATTACGGAACTCACATCAGGTTTATCAAAAAATATGGTATGTACCTAGTATGAAATTTAATCTACGCGTACGAGTTATTAAAATTCATGAACACTAGAAAATTATAGGCATCTCCTAGATTTACCCAAAAGGGTGCAGAACGACCAAATTTTCGAATGGCAAATCGTAAATATTAGAAACGTTCTCGATAAGGGTTCGCGTGTACCTCTGGCAGTTTTATTACGCAAGGGGCTTTCGCTAAAACGACCATCAAGAATTACTACCAAGTACGGCGACCGAAACGAAAACGAAATTCATCGAGATTATCATATGGGGTGGATGACCCAAATGTGCATTACATATATTTAACCAGAGATGCCCAATTGAAATGTCTTGAATGTCAAGGCAGAATTTCCGACCTTAAATTTATTGTTTGCCAATTTGTACTAAGAACATTCAATGAATATCTTTAATTTTTATTCTGACATCTCCATTTACTGAAAATTTATTGTGGCATGAAGACTACATTAGAGTGCGCATTTGGGGCTTGGTCAGGTCAATTTTCGTTAAAAGCATACACTTTTATTAATTAGAAGATTGTCAAAAGTGTATATTTGGAGTACGGCTCTGTACTGCTGAAATCAAAATACCATGGATAGAAAAAGTTAGAAATGAGGATGTTCTGAATAAAAGGTAGGTGATTTTTGAGACACGACATATATTAAAGAACGTAACCACACTATGCGACCCGTTGGGGGGAGGGGGTCTTCAAAAATACCATGCTTGATCACAGGGTGGGTGGGGGGCTTAAGTTTTAGTCACGTAGTCAATACCTTCTAAGGAAACTTCGCACATTTCGAACTATATTCAAAACTCTCTGTTTGCAAAAACTGATTTAAAACCACATTTCTGAATTACTACGTGAAAACTATAGGGAGTGATGAGTCTTGACATACACTACATGTGGTCATCGAGAGGGGAAGGAAGGGTAAAAATGTAAAAAGTGGGTCACGTAGTATGGGTACGCTCCCTTAGAAGCCGAAACACGAGTAGAGAGGCAGAGGAAGAAAAGTTCCGACAGGCAACCCTTGTGATGAAAGCAGCAAAACTGCATTCAAATATTATTTACATTCAGATACTAATACATGTGTGGTACTGTGTCGACAAGAATTATTATTTTCAATCACTGTTTTGCCAAATACAAATTACTTTTTTTATTATCGCATTCGTTACAAATATTTTGTGCTAAATACAAAAATACTTTTTGGCATCATAAAATAACACCTGCTAGATGCTAACGTTTAATTTTTATTACTATTTTCTCAAAACCGGTATGGAATTTAGGGAAAAGCATTTATTTTGCCATCTAAAAACGACGCGAAGCATGTTGTTGGCGCCTTTAAGGGTTAAAGAACCGTATTTTTAGTATATATTATAAAGGAAACGTGTGGTTATGATAGATGCGATGTTTTCTTTTGGTACGATTCAGCGATGTGGAACGGTGCCAAATGTCTCTCGCTCTCTTTTCGACAAAACGAGATAATTAAAAGTTTTTTTCAGCTTTATCGCCTTATCAATAGGATTAGCAATGCATAGCGCCAAAACAACTTTACTACCCTCAGACATACAATTCATCAATATCAATTTTCGTTTCAAAGAACTCTTGTAACAATGTAAATTATATAAACGAATCTTCACGAATTCATTCCAAAAACTCCCTGCTATATAATAACGCCAGAAAAATACACATTTTTTTGAAAAAGGAACAGTAAATTTTTTTATATATTTGGGGAACTCTTCTTTTTTTCTTTTTGCGAAATTCTAATAATACAAATACTTTCACTTCTTTCACTTTTTCTTCAACTTTTACAATTACAAGAAACAGCCTGAATATTGTTTAAAAGTTCTTAAGTTATCTTAAAAGCCCTTCCAGTAATTAAAAGTGACTCAAGAAGAATATAGCATTAAATAAAGAAATGAATAACACCCCAGCTTTTAATATCAAATCATCAAATAAAAATAATATTAGGCTCTATCTCAATGGGGTAGTGACAAAATTCAGATACAATTTGATAAAACCAGATAGTTGTACCTTAATAAAGTTTATCAAGTCTGCTATACATCTATATATTCTTGAATATTGAATAGACGTCAATCACAATACACCCTGTATATGCTTAATGGTGAACAAAATAATAAACTTGTTTTATTTCTATTCAGTGAAATGGCTGGCGCCATCTGTTTCTATGAAACCAGCAACTGCTTTGTAAAGCTTCACGTAATAAGGTTGTCCATACCTCACGGCTTACGTTCGGCAACAGATGGTGCCACTTACAGGATACTTTTATAAAATTAATAACGAGCGGGAATTTACAAATATTACACGAATTAAATATATTAAGACTTGCAAAAGCAAAAGAAACCATTTTCACAGAATATTAAAATAAATTGAAGTCCAATATAACTATTTATCAATAGTTATAGTCAAAACGGCTTTCATTGCATTCCAGTTAATCATACCCTCCAAATACATCAAAAAGGGAATATACTACTAATTTTGGATAAACAGATTCCCGTTTTGTGATATTTACAATTAACGGCAACAACAATAAGAATAACGATAATGAAAGGTACTTTTATAGTTTTTGGCAACCCCTACAATGGCAATAAACTACTTATTACGAGAAATAATAAATGAAAATCCACGTATATTTATACAATAACATTTTATCTGTTATCTCACACCAGAAGAATTTACTTTAAACATTAATTCAGATTTATAAATATTTTAAAACAATTATTATCCTTAGTTTATACTGTACGTAAGGAGATAATTTAGCATGTAATAATTAGATTATATTGACGTTTTTCAAAAAGTAATTATTTTTAAAACTCCTTATCTATACTATATTACCTAAAAACTCAACAATTTAGCGTTTTATCTTCATCCACCAACAGACAATATTAGATTTTTTTAATTTGAGTTAAACAGATGATTTAGTAAAATTTCAACAGATTCACTAATACAACGCAGAATAAGAAATAATAAAAAGGGATTGCCCATAAAATACGTCACTCAAAATTTCACCTTTTTTTACCCCTCCCCTTCCTTTTGTTACACTTTCAGCGACCCCCTTAACAAATATTCTACTCTATAATCGATTCCTTATAATTAAAAATAGCAATGAGAATGACTTTCTATCGTGATAAAAAATTTTAAGAATTGTCAAGTTAAAAAAAACATTGAACGTCATATTTCCTTAGACTTCCTTCCCCTTTGTAGTATTTCGTTAGGCTAAGCAATACACCACCCTCCCACAACTTTATCAGCGAACGTATTATGTAAACGACCCCTAACAAGAAAGCAAATTACTTACGGCTTTTGTAGGCAGAACAGATTCCATCGCTATCCAAGGCATGATGATAATGGTAGATAGATTTGCCAATCAAATCTTTTGGGTTATACCCCAAAAAGTCCACCATTCTGTAACAAAAATAAAATATGTAGATACCGGAATGTTTTGTTTACTTCTGATGATTTTTCATTTTATGCATGATATTTTTTTAATATATTAACAACATTCTTTTCTACCCAATGAGTTATTATTTTTAAATTGCTTCATCTAATGCAACTATACTCAACGGTTAAGGATTTGCAGAACGCAAGTAACACAACACAGGAATAAAACATATTCCCAGCTAATACTGGTACGATTAGGAAAGTATCAAATATATCGTGGCTTGCAGCAAAGGAGCAACAATAGCGGCGAAATATGAATTTTTAAGGTCAATATACATTCACTTCTATAAGCGAAACCTTAGTTTGTTCACGATATACGGTGGCCTAGAATAATTAGTATGCTGTTCACATTATGCCGGTTTACCGTTGTAATGCCCTTATTATCGAGTGTGTACTGTAATATAAGGGCACCTGACATATTCGAAACCTATAAGGCGCCATAAATTTTCACGCAAACAATTTTACTTTGATTAAAAGGTAAAAAACAGTTTAGTCATTCAATCAGCTACCACGTCACAATTTATGAAAAACACTGTACATACTAACTTTTGCAAAAAAATATATTATCAAATTAGCAACTCGGCTCATTAGCGACCTTTGCCTGTTGAATGACCAATATATAAAAAAAAAAAAACATTGAAAAGAGTTAATACGCCTAACTGCAGTTATGCAAATTATTAAATAACAGCAAACGTTTAATGAACTTTACAATTAAACGTGATAATGTGTGCATAGACCAGGCAATGATTAACCAACCTGTTTAAAATTGCATTTATTATCGCTATTAATAATACTAAGGAGTAAAAATCAACGATTCAATTCCTGTATGTTCAGCGTAAGAGCGTATTACTGACAAGATTAAGGTCACTGACAATCAAACAAACACGAGTCTTAAGAGAAGTGAAAGACCAAGGCTTTTCTGATCTTTGGGAGAAACTGCAGTCAGTAATTACCAGATGTCAAGAAATACTTTTTTTATATTTTTGACTACGCGATAAGCCATACACGTGTCGATTACTGAAGATATGTTTATTCCTGCATTGAGAAAGAGTAATTAATTTATAATCAATTATTTTTCATTATCAAAGACAACTGTTGATCCCGCTAAAAGAACAAAATTAACTGAATTTTAAAAAATGTAGTCAATTGAAAAACTAAAATCACAAATGCGTCACGAGTTTCTTCTGCACATTACACCGCTTACGTTTATTTATTTTATTCATTTAATACAAAATTGAATCTTTATTACATAACGTGTAATTGCAGAAAATTGTTTCTGTGTACTTTTTGTATAATATGCTGCGGTTAATGTTTATTAATTGATCATTAAAGACCTCTTTGTATAAGCTCGTAATTTACAATGGTACAAAAAAGATAATTGACGGGCTAGGTAATACAATACAAAAAGAAATCAAGCACCATACGAAATGACTCTTTCCTTTTTTTTTATTTGTAATTAAGCGTTAATTGACTAGCAACATTCCTATTGATAATAATTTTATTTCAGCTACTTACATATCATCAGCGTAGGTGAACTTCATGTCCAAACCGTGTTTAGTCAAAAACGTATTTTTGCCCAGAGGAGCCTCGATGTTTGATGGATGTGGAATGGGCTGGCCAACAACAGCCAAACATCGTTGTTGACTGGAAGAATTTGATTTGGACTCGGTATCATTTTTTCCCTTTAACGCTTTATTGCGTTGAAGGAAATGACCGGTAAAATGAATGACCTGCAACAAAAATAACAACCATTTTTATAAGGAAATATATTATAATAGAAATTTCAAAGTTTAATGTAAAAAAAACGAATAAACCAAAAAATTTCTGATTATTTTAATTACCTTGTATGTGGCTGACTTGAGATTAACGGATCTGCCCTTGCTAGTCAATGTACACTTTAATCTGACGAAAAACGATCTCGATTCCTCCGAGTCATCAGACGTACGGGCAGAAAGGATTTCTTTGAACTCCTCATGATCACAAGGGTGACTATATTCGTATAAATTCTGCCCCATGAGATCAACCTGCAATTAACAATAAACATAAATAAAAACCGAAAGTTAAATAAGTTTTGTAATGTAAATTAAACGATGTTTCAATTTTAATTCTTGTGGAATACATATATGTAGTACAAAACTCTAATATAAATATAATGTTATTTTTAGTTTAGCTAATAAAGGTTCAAATATGTATTTAAGAACACCCGGAGAATCCCCATTTCAAATGCTAATCATTTTGGTAAGGAACCACCAAAAGCTTTCATAATTAAAGGTAAAATGTACCCATTTATCGTGTTTTGTTAACTTTTAAGTAAACAATATACAAAAAATTTAATAGAATGTAAGGTAAATCTAACTATGTTCTATGCGGATCTAAAACAAAACTAGATACAATTTATAAAGGAAAGATCACGTTTGACTGTAAAACGGAACTTCTAATATAAAAGGCACAAGGCTATATAAAAAATTCACAGACTTTTTACAATTCGGTAGATAACGTTCGCTCGATTTGAATAAAGATACAAACAATATTATAGAAAAGATGACCATGAAAATGTAATGCACTTTTTATGCTGACACCACGATTTAAGTCGTTCTAAAAGACAAAACTTTAAGAAAATAATGTATTTATATTGTACTAGAAGAAAAGAAGATAGTACTTGGTTAAGTCCGATTTTCTTTATTTCCTATCTACAAAACTGTCTTTCCAACTTAGCAATTTGATACCAGATATTTAATGATTCCAGTGATCCTACTAAATTCGTTTGTGATACTAAAGGAAGTACTACAAAATTAGTACTGACGGATTCTGTTATTACGAACGAATGCACTTAAAATAAGGCAATTTTCGTTATAAATTTTTCAAACAATGCCGCCTTTAACTGCACTTATGTACAGTAAATTCTTTTTAAATGAATACGTAAGTTCTTTCATTTCTCTTTATTTTTGTTCTTAGTATAACTTTCAAATTTCATATTTGCTATAATATGACGCAAATTCGTCCCAAATTCCAACCAAATACCTTAAATAACGTTTTAATACATGCATTAGAAAAATTACTTTTGAATGTGTTATTCACAAACACATATGCGATAAGACGAGGTCGTTCAATTATTTATCTATTTCCAATTAGTTAAGCTTTACTACAACAATAATAAATAAAGATATGTTTAATTGTACGCAAGCTAAAATTAAAATAAACCAGTTTTACTGGACAGTGTTTTTTCCAATGGAATCCTTTCTGTGTCATCATACTTTGAAATTTTACATATCGAATTTCTTAAATGTCATGAAATTTTAAGAACACGGGGGATTTTCTATAACTTTGTGTATATTGAAGAAAACTACTTTCTACTTTCTTGGAAAATCTAAGCATTCCTGTTCCGTGAATAAATATGATTCCTTCAATTTTAAGAAGTCAGCAATGTTGGTAATAAAAATAATTTGTAATATTTAATTAATTTGCTTTGTCATAAAATATATGCATTACGTTCAAGAAGGTACTCAACATAATTTGCATGTAGTTGAATGATTTTAATTAAACACACACGTCCAATTCATACGATTAACTAAAGTATGTAGTCATAACCGTAAGATTCTTTTTAGTACAAGTGCAACATTATTTACTTTTACGTAATATGTATTTACATAATTACTATCTCTAGACATGAAGTTTAGGTTAATAGACTCAAAAAATTATAAGCTGGCATTGTTTATAACTTTTAGTTGATAGACGATAATTATTAATCAAGTGGCGCTATAAATGAAGCGAATATAACTTTAACTTGGTTTTCACTAAATTAAGTACAAGTAGTATTATTAAAATATATTTCCAGCAATACGGAAAAATTTTATATTCAAAAATATCACACGGCTTTAACCTTGGGACGAATGTTATAAAGAAAACTTCGGGCAAAAAATGAAGAAAAATATGAAACATGTTGCAAATCGTGTTGCGAAAATTATATAAAAACTCACCTGTGTAATGCCAAGGTACTCGGCGACATTTTCTGATGAATATATTATATCACCGTCGGTGGATAGAACGAATAAAAAACCGTCGAGGGACTTTAAAAAAATGTCCTCGCTGGCTGACAAATCGTCCTCTTTTTTTAAAATCTGAGGAACTGAAACAAATGAGAAAACTATTATGAAAGTGTCAAAAGATCATTATTTAAGGCTCTTTTTAAACAACTTCTAGCAAATCTACAAAAAATAATACATGTTTATCTTACAAAAGGCATCGTTCATCAAAGTAACGTAATGCATATGCGTTCAACTGACTTTTACTCGAATTTAAAATTAATGACAAATGGAAACAAATTTTTCGTACAGAATTAAAAACAATTGCAATTATTCAGATAATCAAAATTCATCTGGCATACATATGCTAGCTTACGGTTCTTGAACCCTCTAAAACAATAAATGTGGTTTATGTAATAACCATTCTAAACGCCTTGGGGTCAATTTATCACGAGATATAAGATGGTAAATAGTATAATATAAATAGTTTGGTGTACATAAAAATTATAATTCCAAAGAATAAGCAATTGTACAAACAATTACAGAACAATCTAAGAAATTAATGGTAAGTTACATTATTAATATTTAAGAAGGCAACTAAAAATGATAAATACGATTAGACACTTATATTTATCTACGGATTTTGAAAACGTGATTATTTTTCCAATTAATCCAATTTTACTAGAGAGCAGGAGTGGTTAGCATATGACGTCACTATTAGGGACGGACTTAGGTCGCTAACCAATTAAATATTTATGGAAAATGTACCGCATTGCAGTATTATATGTTTTCATATGTGGGTCCGAATCTATAACAAAGAGCAGCACGCATTTCAGATCTTACCCCATAAAATTTTAATCATCGGCCTAAGTATGGACCTTATCTAATAACTTCAGCTCCTTATTAATTATAACAGTTCACAGGGAGGTTACACGTGTGTACTAATAAATACCGTAAAATTATTATCTTTCATTTAAGATTTTTCACGGAAATTATTAATCTGTTAATAACAAGTGAATTTACAATAATCATAATAATATGCAGCAGGCTCGTTCCTGACCCCAGAGTTACAACGTATCGGTAAACAAAAAGAACATTGCAATTCCAAATGGCACAAGGCTATGCTTTCATTGCAGGAGCAGCAAAGTAATTTCGTATTCTGCACATCATGACAATACGTCAACTTTCTAATTTGCATATTAAATTTCCATTATTTTATTGGAACACGCAGTGGACTACTATCAAAGCCGAATATGTATTTATCGATTTTTTATGAAACAACAACAACAATAATAATTTAAATGTACTGACTTCTAATAATTTACCAATATGCACAAACTTAAGCTAAAAAGGTAACAACAAATTCATGAGATGTGTACAATGAGAAAGGCCACAAGGAAATGACGGGGTTGGCGTATCTCATCAAGTAATTTTTAAATCAACCCCCAACTTACCACACTTTTTACAGATGGAATATTTTTCTTTTTAATTCAAACGGGACCGACTTTGAGATAAAAAAAAAGAATAATTAAATCGGTTAACAATCAACGAACAAGTCACAAAAGAAAACTTCGGACTTCGTTTTAATTCTATCAATAAATAAATAGGTACTTTTAATATTAAATAACGGAATTAACTTTAAATCACATTGTTGCTTATCTATTATAAATCGCATATCTATAAATATCAATCAATATGATATCGTGTAAATATTTTTCAGTTATAAGAAGGTTCCATTTATATCTAGTAAAAATGCATGATTATCATGTTTGAAGTAACTGATTGTAACACATGTGTTCATTTGTATTAAAAAATAAAATAACTCGGATTCGTTGAAGTGGAAAAAGGTGATAGATGCATGATTATGTACTAACAGTAACTAGACAATATCAAACAATCAAATGTGTACCTTTTTAAAGTGGTCTCTAAATATAGATAGACGTCAGTGTTAAGGCAATTAAACTTTCGAAAGCTATTTTCTTAAGGAAGCCATACATTAGTAGTATGCCACTTTAAATATTTGTCTAGTGTTTAAACTTTTGCTCTGCGAAAAATTGCAAATTAAGTTTTGTTTAATTAACGGCAGCGAGAGAGAAATTTGACAATGAAGCCAATAATGACACTACAGACTTGTTTGTACAAATTGTTCAATATGCCAGTATAAGTTTTATTACATTTTATGAAAAAAAAAAAAAAATAAATAACAAGTGCTACTTTAGTAAAAGAAAAAAGCTCAGCAAGCTTTTAGTCAGAGTTCGTGTACAAAAGTTCCATGTCATGTGCCTACAAGTTAATCTATACCAAAATCTACGTGTACTTAACTATTCGTTGTATCCCTTCTTCAACTTCAATTTCTCCTATCGTGATGATGACAAATCGTAACTATTTTGAATGCTAAGTGCAAAAAAAATGCACTAACCAAGATGACGAGATGATACATAAGGCATATTTAATTTAACTTTAATAAATTACTAAGTTCGTAGGTCGGTAGAACACCTTCACAGGCATAAAGGTATAGTTAGAGACATATTAGAGGCAGAAACAGGAGTAGAAGTAGACCTAGATTAGATTACTGTTCGCAAAGGATCTGGGTTGTTCTAGTTTTAGGGAAATGCGAAGATTAGCGCAGGATAGGAAAGAGAGGAGATGCGTGTGCGACCAGTCTTAGAACTGACGACCTTATGATGATGATAAATTACCTGTAGTCTTTCGATCCTAGTAAGTGTAGCACCTTTCTAAGAAACAGTAGCAAACAACATAAACCTTATTTTGAAAATCATTAGCAGATGAAATTATTTGTTTCAAATTTAATTTAAATGGATAGGTTATTTAGCATATACCTAATTATGTCAATCAACAGGAAACTGTTCGTCAATATGTCGATGTGACGAAAATGTGTATGGGTCTTCATAGTTCATATGTCATTCTTTTTAACATTTTTAACTAAGCAAACAAAAAACAAATAAACAAACTGTCGTTTTCATTCAACTACAAGGTGACGGTTTAAGTGCCGGCCTCGTTTGTGTTCTTGTTGGAAAACCGCGAACGAAATCCGTTAGGTTCGTTGAAGTTTTACTGTTTTTGAACGTAAAACATCGCATAAAAACTGCAATAAACAATACAACAAACAAAAATTGTCGTATAAGCAATTTGTCCGGGAAATGACTAAGGAAAACCGAAATAATAGAAGAAAACGTTTTACGTTAACTAAAATTACAATAGTTATTACGTTCTATTTACGCATACGTATACGTATTTCATTGAAAACTTTTGTATCGAAACATCATAAAATAAACGGTATGTAATGAATTTTTTAAAGTATCTATGTCACTGATTAGCTGAATCCGAAATATCTTCTAACACCACTTTCTCCATTTTCTATCAAGTGACTTAGTAGCGCTACATCAAACCCACCAAATTAAAATAATTTCTACTAGAGATGCATCGAACAGTGATTTTACCCGAATAACCGGGTACCCACCCAGCATTAACTATGCAGAACTACTACGGGCAATGGTTTATGTCTTCGTTCTCTTTAAAAAAAAACTTTTGGTTATTTCATTCCCACCAGCCACTAGTGCTGGTGGACGGGCAGTCCCTCCGGACTACACCGGAAGACCCTCTTCAGCCTCCTTTCAGGAATCGTGGGAATGGGTGGATGGTGGTTCGGGTGAGAAAGATGAGGCGGATGAAATGAAGACAGAAGAGAATGAAAGATTATCTGTGGAATATTAGTGCCCCAGTATTTGCCTAAGTGATCCAAGACAACCACAGAAAAACTTGGACAAAGGCAAACGGACCCGAATGCTAAGCAATGGTCTAAAGCTCCAGGTCATGCCGCTCGGTGTCTTCGTTCTGGTGAGCTTTGCATTAAATACCATCCTCAACAACGTCCCAAACCACACTAAGTCGGTCCCACTCAAATCGTTTAAATAATCAACCAATAAAATTTTAATTTTTGATTGGCGGATCAACGAGAGGGTTGAATTGAAACCGTTGAAACGAGCCATTAATAAATTATCATTAATTAAAGCCTGATTATATCAACAGGCGACAAAAATTGTAACAGTTCGGTCATACTGATGTATTCTAGTTCACGAGAAAAAGTAAACACAAGAACTATATCGAAATAATCAATAATTTAGCATAGTAATCAATAAATAATATGAATCAGAAGAAACGACCTATCCCAAAACAATCTTAATTGGCTATTTTCAATAGGCAAGTTTAGATTATTATTGCTGGTGTTGATTTCTTTTTTTTTCTCTGGAAAATCGTCCAGCACTGCCGAGTACTCGACGTCATTATCCGGCAGGATCATAAAACCGGATCCATATTTAATATCTAGATAGATGTAGATAGTTTAACACACAAAGGATGTTCTTCCAAATTTCATCTTCAGTGGTATCGATGCCGATTAAACAGACCTCAGTTATACTTTGCGATTAATGAACTCATCGATTATATATTATGAAATGTTCCTCGTTATAAAATGAAAACTCCAAATGCTTTATTAATTATAATTACTCGTAATTTATAAAAATTCAGAATGTTCACAGGAGGAAAAATTCTAATAATTTCACGTATCTTATATTTGTTGATAAAAGTAAAAAAAATCAGAATACCTTACTATTTTAATTTACGAGATATGTGCTTATATCTCTGCTCTTACAAAGCCTCTTAATCATTATGAATTTACGAAAAAAAATCTACAATATCTAAATTATTATGTACTGAACTTACCGAGTTTAACCATTTCGCGTACTCTTAGATAAGAGATAGCGAGTCGCATAACGGAAGCTTTATCCAACTGCGATATCTGATCCTTTGTTAAAGGCAAAGCGTTTGCAAGGTCTGTGAAAATTTCTGTTTCGCGAGATCGACGACAACGGGCCGCATCTCTCGATTTTTCTTTCCTTTTTTCATTATTCCTGAAACAAGAGAAAGAACGTGAATACACAACTAAACTAAATATTGAAAATTTGATAGAATTATCGACATTCAATACTCATCCAAAAGACTTAAACATTAGCGCCAATAAACATGTTTTGCGCCACTGAACAGAAGTTTTTACGAAATAAACTATCAGATCAATTTGAAAGAACAAACAGGAAGAAAAAACTGGCGGTAAACAGATACTATCAACATCGTTATTATCATAATATACCAGTTTTATATCTTTTTTGGGTGGAAAACAAATTAAACTTAATGTAGAAAAATTGTATTACATTTCGAGACGAAAACAAACTTTTTTATGAGCTAAGCATTTTATTACTTTCACGTGCTCGAAACTCCTTAAGCAGTTTAGGGTTCTGAACAACTAAATTTTGGAACTTTTGGTAACATCAAAACAAGTTTGTCAACAGGAAAATCGTCTTCAAACGCGGAACGCTAAAGTGAATTAGAATAAAGAATTTTGGTGTTAAAGATAGATCAAAGATCATTCGTACATTTTGATAACAAAAGTAAAAAAAATTTCGAAGCATATCAAAACTGAAATGGGAGATAATGAAGACGTGTCAGACAGTCATTTGTCACAACTCATAATACAACATTAATAAACACTTTATACCTAGTCGTAAACAATAATATTCTTACAGTTAGAACAATTCCTTTAGTACTTTTCGTGTACTTCATTAATCAAGTTTGACATTCGTACAATTATTTACAAGTTAATGCATATATTAAACCATTTTTCCAGCGGGAACCCATAAATGCAACCAGTTGAGCTTGAGTTAGAGAAAATTCAACTTTTAGCGTTATACTTTTAAATTTATATCTCGAAGACATCGCTTACAGTTTCAAAGTTTTAAACACTTTTAGAAAACATAAATTTAACTGCATCAGCGATTCTTGAACTTTATTAAGATTAACCAAATATTAATAGATACCGAAGGTGTCGAAATATTCTACGTTCAAAAGGAAAGCGAAACTAAAATTAAATTAAATTTTCAATAAACCTGTCAATTAGAAATATGAAATTTGCTTTTGAATTCTTATAGACAACCTACAAATAAAATAAATATTTTCGTAATGATGGAGCTAATCTATATTGACTAAAGATTGGAAAATTACTATTAACGTCAATTAATATAGGCTCTTTCTTCTATTCCTAATAATAATATACGTATGTTTACTTTTTCTATAGTTTACGATTACCCAAAAGGCATATTAATTGGTGGATAGGTACAATAACAGTTTTAAACAGAATTTAATAGCAACAGGAAGATTTAGTAACGGATATGACAACATTCCGTCGTCAATTGCATTGGATTTCTTCAGGGATAATCTGAAATCCATATTCTTCCCAATTCATCTTCATCCACAAATGTTAATTAAATATATCAAAATAAAGACAAAATTACTATGACTTATTTTAAATCCTAACTAATATTATAAATGCAAATGAGAGTTCATTTGCTACCATTTTGTGATCATCTTGAAATTTTGTACACATTGTCAGAGGTACCTTTTATCCAGAAAAAAAATACAGTTCCCGAGGGATAGAAAGAAATTAGTTTAATGTGGTCGTCAATGACCTTTCCACATGTTTAAGACATGAACACGAGCAAAGCCACGGGGTAAAACCTAGTATTTTATAAATTTTATCAAACCATGAAAGAATTCATATATGTACAGAAAACTGTTCAAACTCTTTTCGTTTATACAGATCTAATGTTGTATTTAGTGGAAATTTATCTCTTATAAATTCTCCCAACAGGAAAAAGCAAATTTACGCTAGTATGAAATGTTATCTATCTCAGCGGAAAATTATAATGAACCTTTCGGTTAAAAATGGAAACATTAAGTACACAAAATTTCGACTACTTGGAGACTCCACTTTTAATATAAGGTAAGTACCTAATTTTCTGTACCTCAACATGGGCAAACATTTTATTAATCCACTTTAAGAATAGACTTTTAATCCGATGTTTTGGGCCTGATTTGCCTTTTTTCATTTAAAATGGAGATTAGGTATTCTCAAACTTCAAATAGAATATATAAAAACATGTAATTATTGAAATTAGAAATTTTTAATGATCGTAAGGCATAGGAATTCCGTGCATACTTTTTCAAGAAAAGGATAATTTTTTTTAAACATTTAACATTTTTATTGCCAACATTGAAAAAATAAACAAAAAAGTAAACAACATGAATAACAATGTAATACATATAATTTTTCAGTTTCACTTGAACAGCGACAACAAATAGGTACCTGATTACTCCAACATCTGGGCGAGTATTTATCATCATAATACAATTTCTCGCAAAACCGTAATCATAAGATGAATTCATGATCGGATTGCAATCGCAGTATAAAAATCTTTCACTTAAGACCAGTTACTAATTGAACGATTAATTAATTGACGAATTATTTTTAAGTAACACTTGACGATAACGAATTTTTATCTACGAACAGACGTATATTACGAATAATTCACTTAAACAAATTATGCACCACCACCACCGATCGGCCACTCACTGACTTCATTGGTTATGTTCACTTTCCGAAAATCAGAAGTCAACTAAGAATTTGGTAAACAAATTATACGAGTTCGAACATAAATGTTCGTCAATACAATACAAAAACAAACACAAAATATACAAATAACTGTACGTAAATAATCTGATGCTATTAGTCGCTCTATTGTGACCAGCGAGTAGTGGGTTCTTTCTGTTAGTTATAAACTTGTTGGATCGGACAGGGTCATTTAGATAACTGATGGTCTTAACATTTGTATGTTTGTACGTATACAACTCTGTGCTCTGTCACCATCCGCGATGTGATAACAACAGTCTGTAGGCGTTCGTTTTGGTCGATACATTCGAGCAATTTTCATTGGTAACGTAAGGTATGTACTACCTACGTAGGTAGAATGAAAGAGTGGCTATGACGCGGAAAAACGGAATTGGACTGCGAATTTACAAAAGGAAAAACGAAACGATGGGTATGATTTCTTTCCGCTATAATTAGATCACAGGACGGGACGTATATTAATACTACACCCGGCAAAATTGTTACAAGATCAAAAAATTGTCAAAAGTTGACATATTTACAGTAAGGATCGCAGCCACAACGGTATCACACGGACTTTACAATTCCACACGTGAATCACTACAATATACTTAAAGAAACTAAATACAAAATGAATATATACCAAATTAATTTCATCTGTAGTCGTGGTGCAAGTTGTTTTTATTCATTTTTACCTTTATAAAAATTAATTTCAAATTTTGTCATGTGTATTTGTGCCATATAGCCATAATATAAAAAGGACACAGTTATTTTAGAGGCTCGCCCGCCTGTAATTTATCTTTCGTATAACTTTAGGAAGCCAAAAACTGAGCAATGTTGTTTTTTTCAAAACATTTGCTCATTTAGAAAAGCCATAGTTGAAACGTACATAAAATTTTGCTTCTATGTCCATTATTAGTGCTAAAAGTACGCTATATTCCAAGCAGTCATCATCATAAGGTCGTCAGTCCTAAGACTGGTTGGACACGCACATCCACTCTTCCCTATCTTGACCTAATTTTCGCATTTCCCTAAATCTAGAACATCCCACATCCTTATCTATTTACCAACAGTAATCTAATCTTGGTCTACCACTACCCCTCCTAACTCCCGATTCTGCCCTTAATATGTCTCTGACTAGACTTTCATGCCTGGGAAGGTATCCTACCAACCTATCTCGCCTATTTCTTATTGACTTCCATAGAGTCCTTTGTTCTCCTATTCTTTCTAATACCTCTTCATTTTTAGCCTCCTCTATCCACACATTTGGAACGCTTCTAAACTTTTCTTAAACTTCTTTAACTTAAAACCATTGACCAATTATTTTGCCGGACCACTTTTGTTTCAACAATAATATAATTAAGCCTGACAAAATTGAAAATTGGAATACCTATGGTGACAGAAATAGACTTTTTTGGGCTTTCTGTATACAATAACTCATCCGAAGAAATTTCTTTGGGTACCCATAGTATTAACAGTTGAAGTAATAAAAATAGAAAGTAGTAAAAATGTTAAGTATTATCGACTAACTAATAAACTTAATAGATAACACGTACAATAACACTAAACTCTCTACTGTTTAAACGTGGTTGTTATAACTATGTTTTAATTTGGTGAATAGCAAACGTTATGTACCGTAATCATGTTCCTCATTAATTTCATTAATTGACCACGAGCCCTGACTAGTTAAAATGCTAAAAATACATAGGTACATGCTTTTCGTAACCGTATTAAACGACAATAGGTTTTTATTACAGTTCTTTTATTTTATTTTTTTTTTTTGTTTAAGATGTACTGTTGTTGTTGAGCAGTGCAAATTATGTTCGAATCGAGTCGAAATAATTGAAATTTTAACCGTTTAAAACTAAATTTTATTCGCCTTAAAAATAAAAAGTTGCACAATTATCAAATTTTGTAGTAAACATAAATAAATAAATAAATTTACAGTTTTTCTGCAGCATTTTGCACAAGGCAATGGCCAATTATTGTAATAAATAGATTAAAAATGACTGAAGAAAAATGAGGACAAAAGGATAGATCAATTTACAAGTACTTTGTTATGTCAAATTGTAACAGGGTTAACGGCTTGGAAGGTCAAACTAGTAGTTGACTGTGAGATTAGAGACTTAATCAGGAATATAGTAAAGCATTTCATTATTTATCTATCAAATACAAAAACACAAATAAGTACAAATTATTATTATGGTTATTACTGAATTCTCTTAAATTAAGCCTTTCATTATGTAACAAATGGCTTGATATTAATGTTTTTAAAAATATTTATGCAATGACCGTCACCTACTGAGGTTTATCCACAGTTATTATGATGATAGTTTTGTAGTCGGAGACATTTCTAAAAAAAATTGCCTTTACTCAAATTACGTCAGTAACAGACGACTAATAAGTCATCATTTGTTTGTATAATGACCTAGTTTTTATTCAACTCCTACATGAAAATAAGCATTGTGTTAACGATGAACTTTATTACTGTACACAACATGGTCCGCGGTTTTCAATATCAAACGCGTTTTCAAATTTTTGCTGTTTAATTTCTTGGTAAAAGTTGAGTTTACAATCTCCATGAAGATAGCAATGCAAGATTAAATTTGAAACGTAACTAACCTTTCCAAGGATAACGTTGGCAGGAGTAGGAAATAACTTTTTAAAAATGGAAACGGTATTGACAAAACAGTATTCTATAAAAGTTAATAACAGCAAAACAGAAATACTGGTATGCAAGGGAAGAAAACGTAGGGAAAGAGCGAATTTAAACATAGGTGACGGAAAATGACTGTGACTGATTTTACGGTCAGCGATGAAAGGAGTAGAGCTATAAAATAGACGATAGCCAGGATAGAACTGCATTCAACAAAAGGAGTCACTTCTATGCTCGCGAACGGTTGTACTCTACTACTATTATATGCTACCTTTAATTTTTGTGGCAATTTGTCGACTTTTATAAGACATTAAGAAGATGTCTCACAAGGTAAACTACCTAGGATTAAAATTTTGTAGCAAATAGTGCTTAATCCTTATAAATTATAACTACGTTACTTACTTCTCAGTAAATAGTGAGAGATATAATAGATTATTCATAGACACACACATACACATGTGCCACTACAGTTTTATGGATATAAGAAGTTATTACATAGGTAACAGAACAGCGAAGAATTAAGGATATTTACCTGTGAATTATAATACTTTAAATTTACAATAATGGTTTACTACAGGTATTAGAAGATGAAGCGTTTCACTGATAAGGCCCAATTGCGCATTAGGGAGAAGGGTAAACACTAATTTACTTCATGTTAGTTCAGTTATAACATTCAACATTTCATTAATTTATTCCATTTTTCTGTTTTCAACTTTAACTTCTATACAAAGAATTTCATACCATATTCAGTTATATATATCATCATCATAAGGTCGTCAGTCTTAAGACTGGTTGGACACGCACTTCCACTCTTTCCTATCCTGAGCTAATCTTCGCATTTCCCTAAAACTAGAACTCCTATATCCTTAACTATTTACAAACAGTAATCTAATCTAGGTCTACCACTACCCCTTTTAACTCCTGTTTCTGCCTCTAATATGTCTCTGACTAGACCTTCATGCCTGAGAGATGTTCTACCACCTTATCTCTTCTATCAGTCCCCTGTTCTCCTATTCTTTCTAATACCTCTTCATTTCTAACCTTCTCTATCCACGGTATCCTCATCATTTCGAAAGCTTCTAACCTTTTGTTTTCCGCCGTAAATTTTGCAAATTTGATCAGACTATGTCCGATATTTATATAATAAAATTGCTGCAATAAAAAAATCAGTTATCCTTTTTAAAACTCTTAATAGCTTCCGCTATAACACTAAACTGCGTAATGAAGATGATAGCCTAGCATCAATCCATGTCCTTTGAATTAATTCCACTTTAGTTGGCCTCTTCATATAAGTATGTATTATGCATTAAATATGACCCACAAAACAAACGTAACCACTCCATACATACGTCAGTCTTAACACACTTAGCACCGACAGAAAATGCATCGTCAACTGTAGCGACCTTCGAAGTAGAAATTTATGTGAGAATTCGTCAGAAGCTTCACTTCTCATTCTGATGTCTTTAATCTTTAACATTTGGGGTTAAGTCCAACTGCAATAACATTCACATACCGATATCATAACACAACCAGAAAGTACAAAAAAGAATAAGAATGTGTCACTTCTTTTATTAAAGTGAAACTTCTTTATCGACGATAGGACGGAAATTTACTAGGGTATAAAACAGAGAAAAGTGTAACATCACACCTCACAGCGTCACGCATCACGTGTGACCTCTGGTGGATATGTCCAAATTGAGTCATTTTATCAGGCTTCAGATGCTAACCTGTTAGTAGGTAGCAACCGCTAATCCGAAAATTTCCAGCAAATCACACCTACACATATGTATTGCATATGCGTTTCTGTTTGTTTTGATTTGTAACAAAACTAAGCCAATACTTCGTCTTAGTCTGATCGAAATAAAGTTCTATTTTGCTGCTGTTTGGTAATTAGTTAATGCAATAGTTTAAGCCAATTTCGTTTAAATACTGTATTATATACAATCCAAAGAAGTTTCACTTCTTACGCGTGTACACTAATACAAGCTTAATTTTGGAATTCAGTACCTAAAAATTTAATTACTTCTGAAAGACCAACATCGAACTTTATTATGTTTTAATCTTTTTTAAACAATAATGACCCGTGTTTTTAATTAATTTTACCAGCTTTAATTTAACCACACTGGCACATCAAGGACCATAATAAATTGAGAACGGCTGCAATTGTATCCTGACTCACCATTTCACCGTCTTCGATACGCATAAAAAGATTTTGACCCGATATTGAATGAGTTCTGGTAGTTTCACCGTTATACGAGAAAGTTATTCGATTTTAAATTACGAAATGTGAGCATGTTACATTATCGAAATTCCTGAGCGGCCAGTTTTTCGCCGCTGATGATGATCTACTTAACAACAGTTCTTCTTTTAGGTCAAAGAATGATAAATGAGACTGTCTACTCGATTTTATACAAATAGTGATGCTTATGTCTAGAGTATTGTTGGTTGGGGAGAAACATCAGTTGAGACACACATGTGAAGTGAAATTTTACTGCCCTAGCATTTGCCTAAATGAAGAAATCGAATACGACGCAGTTTCTCATTATCCTTACATTAGTACAATTTATATTTTATATTAGCTGCTGCTTTTTATTAGTCCAGCCATTTCAGCTTATCGTCTATAACATGTAATTCCTAGCAACACCGAGTTTCTTATCAGTCAGCGACAACTCCTGCTGTTGTTTATCAGAAATTTTTACTATTTTATCAAAACTTACATAAAGTCCTCTATATCCATTGCATCCACAAAGCGGCATGTATTTAAACAACCGTTAGCGTAAAAGCTATAGCAATCGTTATAATCCCAATCCTCTATCGTTTGACAGGGTAAATTTAACTTAGAAAGTAATCCGTTTGGGTTAATCCTGTTATTATTTTGACTAATTCCATTTTGATTTATCATGGTGGAAGGACACTCGGAAGAATTGTAGCATATTGCCGGTGGTTGCGCAACAAAAGGATTCGCATTCGGAATTTCCGTGAAGGCATTGTCGTTATTTACTAAAGAAACTTCGTCAAAAATTGAAGGAATTAAAGAGTCCGAATATAAATCGGAAGGTACTAAATCAGGGGTGTGTTCGTTGGAAAATGTGTTAAGGACATTGTCGATTGGGTAATCGTATATACAAGGATGTATTTCGGGAACAACAATGGGATCAGGTGGTTGGGAGAAAGTTGATTCCGGAACTTTTTCACGCACATTTTCATTAACTGCAAAGCTATAGTCACACAAGTCACTACAAATGCGATTGTCGTAATAATTACTTTTGGTTATTAATCGGCCGTAACCAATTCCTTGATGCACCCGCGCCACGCTCATATTGCTCGAAGCTTTCCATTGATTTGCTACAATGACGCCGAGGAACTGATGAGCTTGTTTCAGGCTACGATGGCAACATTTTCTACATTATCTAATCAGAAAAGAGGTGTTTTACGTTATTTTATTCGTATCTGGCCTTGAGGTGAGTATCACAGATACATTGTTTCGAAAATTTTGTCATTTCTACTTGTTGCAAGCGTAAAACGATTAGCATAAATGAAACTACCTTACATTCAAATAATGGTAAAGAAAAACACCAACTTTTAAAATAATTTTAACATAATCAATTAAATCTTAACTAGAATTGTACAGAGAAGGATCGAAAAAAGGGCGGAAGAATTATTAGGGGAAGATCAATTTGGGTTTAGAAGAAATAGAGGAACGCGGGAGGCCATTCTAGCTTTACGGGTAACAATAGAGAAAACGATAGAGCAAGGAAAGAGCGCGTACAAAGGATTTGTAGATTTAGAAAAACCTTTTGACAATGTACTTAAAAATTTAGGGATGAGTTTGATTGAGATAGGTTGGTAGGACACTTTCTCAGGCTTAAAGATGTAGTCAGAGACATATTAGAGACACAAACGGGAGTTAGGAGGGCTAGAGGTAGACCTAGATTACATCACTGTTTGCAAATAGTTAAGGATATGATGCTCTAGTTTTAGGGAAATGCGAAGGTTAGCTCAGGATAGGAAGGAGTGGAGATGAGCGTCCAACCAGTCTTAAGACTGATGACCTTTTGATGATGATGATGATGATGTTGATAATCAATTTCTCAATTTTCTTAAGCATCAACATCCACTTCTTACCCAGAATGAAAAGACGTGTCTGTCAATATCCACATACATATATATTAAAAACTGAAACGTCTTTCACTGTTACACTATTATAAGATTATGGCTTTACAAAACGTATGACGAAACGTCAAAAATAACCGCAAAAAAAAACATTTATGCACCGAAGTTCCACTAAATGAGTAACCCGAATAGATAGTAGTTGTATTAGACATCCGTATCCACAACTGCAGGAATGAACAGAAGTTAAATTGTTTAAAATCCGCCTCCTCATCCAAATCCGCACATTCATTCTAACGAGGATATTTAACGAATACATGTTGTACAACAATGCTACAACAATAAATACAATATGTTGAATGTTAAAATAGGTTTCCTACCAATAACAAAAACTTTCGCACCCTCATCTGTAACCGCTAAAGCATAGACGTTACAACCCTAAAACCAAAGATGGTCAATCCGTGGTTTACAAAGCAACAATCAGACCCTTTAATAATTGTACCATCAGGCACAAAACTTTTCTGAAATTATAATTTAAGGATAAACTCAATCCACTTGAATAAAACAGTGCATAGCAAAGAATCACGAGAAAACTGTTAATCCCTACTTATCCGTAACTCTATTTACTGACTTATCTGCGCGTATTCAATGTGGTCAAATATGTATAACTAATGATAGAACCCTCCCGTTGCTTTACCAGAAAAAAAAAGAAAAGAAAAAACGTCCAAGACGGTCACCCTCTCATTTACGTCATTAAATTTATTAAGTGGGTACATCCATCATCATTTTAGTTATAGTTATCTGATTACAGATTACAGAGGTAGCATAAAGTACAAAAGTACAAATAATTTTTAATTTAGACCACCCTGATTAAATAACTTCGTACCTAGGGACGATTAATAATGACTTTGTAATTGTCCACTTCCTAACTACTTGGATGCTTCGTGCAATGTCACTTTAAATATGTAAGTAAATAAGTACTGGTTTATGCTTACTTTTTTTTTTTTCGGGAAATATATAGGCAACTAATAAGACACTTTGTGATAGAGTTTAACTCGCCGTGACTCAAAATACTTGTTAGTTAATTTTTGATAAGATACGTAATGATGTTTCATATTACCTAAACATTTTTATCTGTAAAAGACAGCGCGAAACCTTCTGTTATTTGAATAGTAATCAAAGTTACATTGCGATTAAAACGGCAAACACGTCGAAACGGTCACACATTCACTAATCGTTAGTAAAACCGCCACCAAAGTAAGATCAAAGTACGTAATATTTAATGTGTAATAAATTTTAAGAGAAAGGGCAAAGTCAACTTTAAGGAAAGGTTTCGGTTTTACCTACTCCCTCTTATAATGTTTGGTTAAATTCTAAATTAAATCAAACGGCTCAAGGTTTTGTTAAAATAAAAAAAATACGTCTATATTTTTTCAAAATACAGTGGAGATTGGATATAACAACATCGGTTATCGATTATAACGACAACATTGGTGTAAAGGTTTTAATAGTCCCGCAAATTTACCATTTAAGCCAACGCTAAAGATCAGTAATAACGACAGTAAACTGATATATACTTATCGTCATATTTTTATTGCTACAAACTTTCGAAACGATCGTATTATTGTCTGTCTTGTAAATTCATATTGTGCTAATTTCTGTTAATAACGACACTCAGTTATTATGCCCAAATATCGGGGGTTCTACTGCAATCCTTTTTTTTTTAAGTTGTGTTGCACGAAGGTTTTCACTCAACTTAAATAAACTGATGGGCAAATTCAAAGTCAAGAGGACCATTGGTATGACAGCTCATCAACAAAGACTATTTCAATTTGTTAAATTGAGATTTACACACATAAAGACGTAATAACCCAGAGTTAAAAAGGTTAGCAAAACAATACAACATTATAATAATGTTCAAAAATAGCCAGTTGCAACTATAAGTGATTGTACAGACCAATCATAAAGGAGGCCTTGGAGGTATAATAAGTGCACCACTTTACTCGTGCACACGACAGTGAATATTCCCAGTGAAGGGAAGCATTCAGGGTTAAATTTATACAACGTTAATCGATATCTTCAACAAATATTAGGTACTAATAATAATAACGCTGAATATAGATTTAGATTGACCGAATCATTTTAAGATCGCTTACTTTATCAATTATGAACTTTAGACTTTAATACTCATATTGAAGTAATCTATTACTTTGTAAAAAATGTAATACATGAGTTAATTAGTTACATTTAATAAGGCATGCCATATATATATCAGTGGATTTTAATATGTGAAATCTTGATTAAATTTTGCAAAAAATCAGTGATTATCCTGGTGTGTCCTAGTTTCTGAGAAATTGATTATTTCTAACATAACATTCTAATATCATAATTTGGAATCCCTAAAAAAATAAGGGGATTAGAAAGGGTAGAAGAATACAATCCTAAAATGAAGAGATAAAACGATAGAACACTTTCTGAGACGTGAAGACACTCGGTTAGACTTGTAGGTGTCGGGAAATCCGATGATTGCCTAAGAATAGAAAGGAGTTGATGATGATGAATTGAATACATTTATCGCTAGAAATATATAATATATTTTATGTTACATATCAATGCTTTTTAATAGTTTCCAAAAATGTTCGATATTTGTTGAAGTGCGTGAAGATGGTGTTAGTTTTAAGATATTACTAGGTGTTTTGGTAAATTTAATAATACTTCCTAAATGCGCCTATTATCATCAAAAACCTTAAAAAGATTTTACACCAAAGCGTTTATTTTTTGAATAACAACAATAATAATTACGTATATCATGCGAGTTAAACGAAAGATAAGGCTATAACTATACAAAAACAAACACACCGGCATAAAATGAAGTATTTTTGTTGTTTTCACGTGTCAGACCAGTGGTAAAAGATAAAAAAACTTGTTGCTCCCTTTTCTTTCCTCAATTTTACTGATAAGTGCAAGCGGGCATTAAATAACTATTCAATAATACTAAAAAATACACGTACATTACATAGACAAATTTTGTTGCCATTTCTTCCCCAACAACCTGGTTGTAAAAAAGCCCTTGTCATATACGCAGGTTGATTTCATACTTCATTACACAGACATAATTAATATTACAGCATTATAATTAATTCACTACAAAAAAAGGGCTAGATGATGGCCCCCACCCCCGAAGGGGGGGGTCGAAAGAGGAGGTCTCACCCACCACTGCACCATAAAAAGTTCGTGGCGGTCTCACCCCCACAAAAAGTTATGGGGGTTCAAAGTTAATAAATATGCCAATTTTTATACATTTCTAGGAATGTAAATATTTATATAGTCATTCTTAAACAATATTCAAAGGTAAAACTAATGAAAAATACATAAAAATATTGAGAAAGTTATATAAAACATTATTTAAATATCTTTATCAATAGGGTAGGTTAGGTTAGGTTAGGTTAGGTTATCGGGTTTTGTTCAAGTGACCACCCTCTTTCGATCCCCCACCTCCACCCGCTTGAAAATATTTTTTTTATTGAATTTTATTTGAATTATAGTGTATGAAAGTTGTCAAAATAATCAACTTTTAACCCCCATAACTTTTTATGGGGGTGAGACCGCCGCAATTTTTTTATGGGGTTTTACTCAGGTGACCACCCTCTTTAGATCCCCCCTGTCCCCACCCCCATCTAACCCCCATAACTTTTTATGGGGGTGAGACCGCCACGGACTTTTTATCGTACAGTGGTAGGGGAGACCTCCTCTTTCGATTCCACCCACCCCAAAGGGGGTGGGGGCCATCATCTAGACATTTACCAAAAAAGGCATTCTGTTTAATAGTACAGCAATGGTTTTCAAAATATATTTTCCACAATTTAGTGTAAGAAAAAGGCTCTGACTTCACATTCCGATTAACTTTTATCAACAGCACCCACCTACTTTATCACATATGTGATAGCACACAGCTTATGTTATGTACTTAGAATAATAATTTCAAAAACCGGAAATTATCCGGTAAAATACCAAAATATCCACAGATAAATATACCTACGCATATTAACCACGATAAATTCGATGCTGCATTGGCTATAAGAGTTTCTGAATCAAATGCAATCACATAAGGATCCATATGTCTACTGATTCAATTACCAATTAATTAATATTTCATTTCCAATAAATGTAATATCAGAATATTTACCGATAACGAAAACACTGGCAAATTGGCAAGATCGAATTCACGTGCCAGTTCCGAAGCACAAACAGA